GGCACCACACCAGAGCACCACGAGTGCTCGTAAAGCCGTGCCAGGGGTCCTGCAATGACCTCAGCTAATTCCCTCAGCACTCTGGGGTGGAGATTGTCTGGCCCAGCTGATTTAAATATGTCCAGTCCCTCCAGAAGTTCCCTGACTAGATCCTTACTGACCCTTGGCCTAGTGTAGCAGTAGCATTGGTGTATAATAATGCTGAGTATTCCACATTCCTCAATAAGCACATGCTTAAATACTAATGCAACTTCCACAATTGCTTTATTTCTTTTCTTTGAAGTCAGGCATAGTTGCTCAAGAAAGTCACAAACAAGTATGTGCAGGAACAGAGTAATCATTAAATAATAATTGTGTGATAAAAAAGTGCAGTCCCCAAATGATGCTAGAGTAGAAGGGTTCTCACACCACTTCTTGAAGGAGCAATGACACTTCAGACAGAGAAAATATTTTATGTCAACATACTATCAGTGTTAGATTATCAGCCATCAATAGTCACAAGTATTATGTCCTTGTGGAAGAATGTATGTGTAGTCTGTGTGTTCATGGGAAGCATGGGAGGCATACCTGTAGAAGATAATCTTATGGTAAGCAAAATCAGTGAATATCTCACATGGACAATCAGGTGTTGGTTGAAGATTGAGGTATTGCACCAGTAAAGACAGCTGAAGGATAAATCAGTTGAAACAAACCCAGAAAAACTCAGAGGAGCCTGCTGCTAATAAACGATTTTCTAAGTAGTGTTGTTGAAGCCATGATGGATTAGGGAATGTGCAAGAAGCAAAATTGGTTTGGTAATACCTTGGGTTGGATGAACTATGTAGTTAGGAGTGACATCAAATAAACTTTCATGCATAAAATGCTCTTCCAGAACATTTTGTACCAAGAAGTTTATTTAACATCTCTCCCAACAACACAGTTGATCCATTACAAGATGTCACCAAACCAAACTTCCTTGTCACACAGATTTTAAGGATGGACTATATTAAAGGCAGAACATATCATGTGACACAACACATCCATTCTTAATTAGAGATACAGTACATGCTAGTTCTTTACAATACTTCCTTATACTAATAAAATAAATGAAACAGTATTACCTTTACCTTGCTAATGATACAGCCCTTTCCTGTTGTTTTTGTCATCTTCTGCTTTACTTCAGTTTTCCCTTCTACTCAGAGCTCTACTCATACCCTCTACTCATGTTTACATGCACATGTGAACCATTCTGTATTCTTTGTAAAAAAAGTGGGCTCTACCACCTATTAACCCAATAATTTGATACCTCCTTTAAGCATCTTACAGTTTTGGGAGAAAAGAAAAGAAAAGAAAATGGAAAGCAGTAACTTGACTTCATTTTCTCTGTAGCTGTGATATTGCTTCATTCCTTTCTTGGATTATTTCCGTACAATCCCATTTGTGATAAAAGCTGACAAATATCAAAGAAATCATCCCGGAAGAATTGTTTTGCTTTTTGCCACCCCCTAAAGAGTTTGTGTAAAAAAACTGTTATGTAAATTAAGTTGACTCTGCTGGTGCCAAACAGGAATTATGATTAAAAGGCCTTTGGCTGTTAGAATAACAAAGTGAGTTTTGTATTAGTATTGCCCAAAGCAGCCCTTAATGGACAAGCCACACCCTTCTAATATCTCTGAATTTACAGGATGCAAAAAAAAAATGATAAAACAGACCACACAATTTTGCACTGATTGCAGAGCTCCAGAAGTTTGACATATAAGGGCACTGCAGAAAAAAACCCTTCTCGTAGCTTTCGTAAGTAAAAAGATGACATCATCTCTTTTTTCACAATGATACTGTCTTTGTCAAGCAATTAGACTTCTATTGGAAGATGTAGATAACTTTATGATAACCAAAGATTGTACATTTTTTCATGTTAATTGCAGCTTTTAGGAATATTAAAGGAGGCTACATTTTAAAGAAAAATTATGAAGGATACTTTCCCATTAAAGTAATTTCCTCCCATCCTGTACAAGTACTTTTTATATATTCAGTGTCTTCGTCTGCCAGATTTACTCATGCTGAGTAGGATCTTACTTGTTAAATTGACAAGTTGATTTTAGTGGGACCACTTGGGTGGGGATCAAGGTACAACTCAACCTCAGTAAAGCTGCTAGAACCTGGCCCAGTAGAAGTGAGGTACTGTGGGTTAAATATACTAATCTCTGCTTTCTAAGGGAACCTGCCTTACAGGTAGCTCAGAAACATGGAGCACCTGATTCACATGAGATACTGTGGTAGTATTTCAACATTAAAACAATTGAATATGGGCCTGGAATGTTTCAGCATTTTGTTTTCCATCAGAAATATTTTTTTCCTGTAAAAGGCAATGATTTGTGTGGTTATTTTTTATTTGACCAACTTCATGGTGGGACTGTGTTGGAAGGAAGAGGGGAAGTGGAGTTTTAGCTATCCTTGCTTTCTGGTGACAACTGTTAATGCTTCTCAGAATGGCACAGGCCCCCCGAGGCTGGGGCAGCACAGTGAGCTCCTGCAAGTGGTGGCAGCGCTGTTGGTGGCAGCGGGGAGGTGGTGAGCACCAACCAGTGATCGGGGACCGCCTGCAGATGCCACCAGCGGTGCCAGTGGCCGGGGACAGGGGTGGCAAGCAGGGGTGGTACAGCGCTTTTTGCATGTGCACGCACATGCACTCCCTATGAATCACCAATGCTTCTCATGCTGCTGCAGCTGAGGGTCAGGCTTGCTGCACACTAGCTGTAGTAGTCCCATGGAGTGAGTTCCACAGGGACCACTCATGGTACCCTGTTAACACCACCCCCCCCATCCCTTCAACCACCAGATGCATTATTGGTCAAAGGACAGCACCTCCTATGGCAAAACTTCCATAGAGTGCGGAGGAAGGATTTTGTTTGTTTTGCTCACCCCACTTGCTCCCACCCTCCTGCCAGATACACTATTGAGCATGGAGCTGTGCCTGCTTAATTCCTATGGCTGGGTTATACAGGCCTATGGCTGCCATGGTAAAGACTCCTTCTGGGGAGAGGGGTCATACTGGTGTCCCTTCTAAGTCAGTGCCCATGGCTGGTGCCTTGGTCATATTCCTTCCCACCCCCCCAAGGTTATGTCACATGTCAATAAAAGCAGTCTGATTGTCTGTAAAATAGGAGAGAGACATTAACAGAAGTAACTAATGGACAAGAGAAATGCAAAAGGACAGATAGACTGATCAGTGGCAAAGTAAGACCATCCAAGAGGGAAGGGCATCACCAATATCTGTGGAATGCAGGGAATTTATCAGGGATCAGATAGATTATAATGAGACATTAAAGTCAATATCCATGTTTTGTCCATGATTTTCAGTGTTCACTAAATTTATGAATTTTAGCTCCCAGGTTCATCTTTTCCTTGAACAGGAGGATTGTGAAGTTAGCAAGGGAGGGGTTGTTCTATTAAAATTGTTCTGCTACCCATGTTCATGTGTCTCTATCTTTAATCTTTTTCCTGTGATTGTTCACCCTGGAGCCTAGTTTTAGTCTAGTCTCACCCGTGCAGCTTCCATGAGGGCATTTGGAGCACTGGATGAGATATACCACATCCCTGGATAGACATATGTAGCATCAGAGTATTCTAATGGTTTTGTTGGGGAGGTGGCTGATTGTTGTAGTAGTGGAGATGAGTTGACAGGTTTTGTATCTATTGTTAATGCAGGGCTGTCTTTCATTGGATGTTTGTTAATCAGCAAAGGAATTTGCTTCTGAAAATGAGTTTGGTGAGGTTAGGGGGTTCTTTTAAAGATAGAAATAAATGTTGGGGAGCTGGGATTTATTTACTGGTGGAGTTTTACACAGGCCATTGCTTCATCTGTTACTTACCTGAGGAAAGGTGTGCTGTGCCTAAAAGCTTGAATAAATCTTTCCCACTCATGCAGTTGGGCCAGTAAAAGATACCACCCAGAAAACTCCTTGCTTTTTGCATATTTCTTGGGCCACCATTGCTACAGCATCACTTGAACATGACCAACACTTCCTGTGGATTTTCTTTTAATCATTTCTTTATGCAATGCTATGACTGCCCGATGCTATCTATCAGGTTAATGATAAAATGTTGTTTTGGGGGGCAGTACTTAACAAAAGGTCTACATTATGACAATGACCTTATAGCTGTGAAATACAATCTTCTGGTGAAATCTTAAAAGTACTTGTTTTAAAGATATTTGAGTATCTGACTTACACCAGAATCAGTCTGTCTACTCTTATTGAAATTAGTTTGAGTTAGATGCTTAAGTATCTTTGTCTGAGCCTTAGAAACTGCAGTGAGGTAGAAATCTTTAAAAAGATAATTGATGGAGAAAAAATGCTCCAAAAGAACTAAATTGTCATGTATGTAACATTTAGGTCCGTCTTGGTGCTCAAAAAATAGCTTGCCATGTATCCATACTGTACTGTTCTTGTATCTGTTGCATTTATCCAAATAGCCATCTGTCTTCAAAACTGTACTTGGGAAATGGAATAAACCTCTGAGCATCTTGGCATCTTTTCTGCTTATTATCCTCATTATCATATTTTCATACATTCCTTCTTTTCAGGGTTTGAGCAGAGAAGCCCTTTTTAATTAGACTAGTGTAATATGATCACTGCAGGGGTCAGGAAGGAATTTTTCCCTGGTGGGTATCATTGTACAAATGGCTAAAAGGCATAATGTTTATTTTGATTTGACCTTCTTTTCTGGCACAAAGTGCTGGATGCAGGACACAAGTCTTCATGGACCACTGATCTGATCTGGTAAAACAAACCCTATGCTCCAATTTATATTGCATGACTGGGCTTTGACTTAGATCATTAAAATGCACAGTCAACTGAAGACTGTGAGGAGTCTTGGATATACAGTGTTAACTTTTTTGTAACTAAAACCCTCACTCAGGAATCAGTGAACAAAAGGAACCCGAGATTAGTATGAATCAGATGAGCAAGACACATATAATGTAACAATAAAAGCAAAAGCTCCTTTCCAGAGATGAAATAGCTGGTGAAAAAAAGAATGCCAATCTTCACAGATGACTGAAACTGACAGAAGAGTCTTTGTAGTACTATAAGCATCACCTCCTGCATGGGACAACCTCAAAATGCTTCTGAATCATCTTTGGGATACATAAAAGCCAAAGACTGATAAAAAAAGATGAGTCAGAGCTTCCTCAGAGGCTTTAGGGGGGACTTTTCCTGACCTTTTGCAAGGCTGTGGTTTTAGCTCCCAGGGAGAGCTGCAGTGAAAGGAGAGAATTCTGCAGATGTAGTTGCAATAGGTTAAAAAAAATGCATCTTTTCTAGTTAAAGCCAAAAATTTATAAGCCGATTTACAGGAACCTTCCAAAAAGATGAAGAAAAATGTCAGCTGGTGAATGAAAGTATCTAATCCCTGAGTAAAGTAAGGCCAAAAGTAATTTAATTGAAATATTTGAAACCACTCAGTGCTTACAAACAGGCATGGCATTTGTCCTGGGAGAAAGTCTTTTGTCCTGGGATCATACAGACATTCATGTCTTCAAGTCATTCTGAAGTACGTTGGATAAAATTCACTAACACTTTTTTCCCCCAAGATATCCTGTTGTATGTCTGTACTATTACTACAGTTCATTCCAGGGACCCAGTAATCTGATTCAAGCCTGTCAGGCTGCATGCTCTTGCTAGCCACCTACTGAGCAGCAATGCAATGTGTACCTCAGTGCCACAACAGTATTAATCTGGGTTAAATTCCAGAGCAACCCATCTCAAGTCAAATGATATGTCTGTTTCCAGCCTCAGTCCTCATTTAGGTTGAGCACAGACTTAAGTTTACTTACTTGCCCTTCTTTCTACTCACGTAGACATCGAACTAGGTGGATTGAGAATTTTCAAACCTGATTAGAGGATTTAGCCACATATCTCCCGTTGGATTGAGTGGGAAGTATAGAACTAAATCCCTGATCATCATCTTTGAAAATCTTGAAATGTGAATCTAAGCCTCCTGGCCGGCTTTGAAAATCTCAACCATTGTGTTTAAGTGTTATGAACCATACGCAGGCAGACAAGATTTTTTGGGTAAATCTGATATCAGATTTACCCAAAGAACCTTCTCTGCCTGTGTCCTTAGACCAACATGGCTACAACCTATACCCATGAACTGTACTTGTAATTCTGCATGGCTACAAATGTATTTCTGGAATTCAGGTCCTGTGCCTTGCCTTTGGGCTAGGTACAGACATTCAAAAAGCCTGAAGTTGAATTGATTCAATCTTTGCAGGTTAGTCTAACCTGGCTAGGCTAAATCAGTTTGTAACTGCACAGACATCCCAGATATGTAGGCACATGCCTGCAGTGGCTCAGGCTAGAATCTGGGGGGTGCTAGAGCAGCCCTCCATTTCCTTGAACAACACTGAGCTGAGAGGGGCATGGCCAGGCCCCAGCAGGACGCTCTGATTAGTTCAGCAGGGAATTGATAACAGTGTTTATCACCCCCTAACCCAGTGTTTATTACCTCATTAAAAATGACAGCAGGACATTACCAGCTACCTGTTGATTCTGCTTGTTGATTCAGCAGGACCATAACCAGCATGTGGTCTGCTAGCTAATACACAGACACCTCTCTGCAAGGCAGAGGGGAGGGGGGAATTCCTGCTTAGCAGGGAGTGGTGAGGGGGTTGGAGAGGAGCAGCCTGCAGTTCTTGCTGGAACTGCAGCCAGGGAACAGAGGGGAGGGGCTAGCCCTGCTATGAAGCAGAGCCTTGCCCAGCCCAGAGAGCATGTCACGATCCTGGGAGTGTCTGGTTTATCTTAAACCAGCAAGGGGTCTGGGACAGACATTGCATAAACTGGTTTGACCCAAATCAGTTGTCTGATACTACATTCAACCGAGTTTATCTCAAACCAGTTTCAGCAATTTTCAATCTGGTTTATGTGCACTGAACATCTGTTCTGTTACAGGTTTCAACCAGTTTCTGATCCCTTAAACTGGTTTATGTTTAATGTCTGTCCCTTTGGAAAGAAGCCAGAAAGTAGTTTCTCTTATTATGCATTACTCTTAGTATGGGTCTCCTGTGCCTGCACTTGAACCTGAAATGGTTCAGCCAGAAGGAAAAGTAAGCCACAGGGAGTGTGGGTCAATAAGATAGGCAATTTCCTGGAAGGAGGGAAGCTTTGGTTCTGGCCCTTGTTCCTGCCACCAGTGATATTTTTGCATCTGGGATTTAATAGTAATTCAATAGACCTCCTTTGGGACAGCTTCTTATCCCACTAGGGTAAGAGCAGGGTCAGTACCCATCTGACTGAGACCTACTTCCTTTGGTTTACTCCTTTTCTGGTCCCACATATCTTGTCCTGTAAGCCACACTCAACAGGAAAGTACTCTTGGCCCTGCTTAGCCCATAGTCTGATAGTTAGACCACATTGCTAGGAAGTGGAAGATAATCATTTCACTTGGGGGGAAGGGAGCCAAGAACTGGATATCCCACTCCCAAAATGTACATGGTGTAACGTGCTTTCCCCAAGAAAGCAGGATCTAAAGATCTGCATAGGTGGCCTGAAAGGCCTTTAGCATGGCTAAAGTTAACTGTGCAAGTGGTACTTCCCTCACTAAAAGTGCAGCTGGATTTGGGTCTATGTATTGTGCAGGATGGGTCTGCAAAGCTTTATGAGGATATACTTACAGAACTTGTAAAGTCCATAGGCAATATTTGTGGATCTTGTAACCAGGCCAATGGATCTTATAATCTCTGTAAAACATATAAGTGAACTTACAGTACTCTCCAAGACCTGATAAATCTGAGAGATTTACATTTCCATAACATATAAAGCCACATGTGTCAACCTAATGTTATTTAAAGAACTTCTGAACTAGTTCTTATTAAGGAAAGAAAGAAAAAAAGAAATAAAACAAAATTAGAGTGCATATTACAAGCACTGCTGAAAAATTGATTGTCCAGAAAAAGTTGGAAGAGTTTTCCATAAGTGAGTAACACCCTTTTCAAAATCTCCGGTCTCAATTTGCCTTGTCTCAATAACCTCAAAGCTTCCATCACCCCACCCCCTCACAAGCCCTTTTCTGGTTGGAGACCACACATCAGAAACTTCAGACAGAAAGCAGCTTTTTACAGAAAGTTAGGATGAGGGATAGGATAGGAGATCAAAACCGGGTTTCTGATGGAAACTTTTACAACCTTAACTCTGAAGCAGCTACTTTTGACTCCATAACAAAGCATCAAAAGAAGTCTCTGCCATTTATCAGTGTTATCAAAAAGCTAATTGTTGCTATCACATATTTGACATTTATGTTTTTTACCTTTTAAGGGTTAGTATATAAATACCTTCTGACTCTCTGTTGGATCACTTATAATAACTGCTGCATGTTGCTGCATTTTAATAATATTCAGGGGCTGGTAGCCAATAGCAAGAAATACAGCCTCTCATTGAATAATGCTATCTTCAGTTAAAAAATTTTGGAGTTGGGCTAAAACTAAAAATACCCACTAATGGCTAATACTTTCAAACAAATTTGCATTCCCTGCATCACTATGTTAGTCCCAGTTCTTACAGGTGTTCATATACTGTAAAAAATCTGAGCTACTTGTTCAAAGAGGCTAGCAGGCAAGGCATATACTGCTTTTCCCCCAAGGCTCTTAGAACTAATGGCTGGAGGCTAGGGGGAAAATGTACTTTTAAGGTGCTGTTTGGGGGTGTTAGTATTTTCAGAAGTCCTGAATGGAGCCAGCACTTCCTACCATAGGTACTCCACTGGTAGTTGATGTTTTCACAATGCTGCACTCCCTCAGACTTGTCAGGCAGTTGCCACTAGTGCAGCAAGTACCCAGCCCTTTTTGCAATTTCAGATCAATTTTGCTTCTATCAAAATTGGGGAGGACAAACCTAACAATGCTCCCACCTCTGAGCAGCCATAATTTTGCTCCAAGTGAACAGAGAACAGAGGTATGTTAGTTTTGTGTATGTGCTTCTAGCAAAGGAGAGGGCAGGTTGGAGGACATAGTGGTCCTGTGTGCCCCACCCCACAATTGGTTACCACCACCATGTATTTCCTAAACTCTAGGTGCAAAAAGTCATAGCTAATAACACGTTTCACTGACTGCTGTAAAGGGGGGAAAGAGGGAGAAACAGTAAGTGAAGGTTCAGTGTTCTGAGCTCTATTTAGGAATTCTCCAGAGAGGAACAGAGAGAATCAACATGAATAACTGCTAGCAACTTTCTCGTTAATTAAAATCTGACAAGCAGCTGGCAGCTGAAAGGGGGAGCTGTAGGTGGGGGAATCCTGTGGTTCACCACTGCATTCCTTACATTCATAAAAGCTAGGGAATATTTCACTGTAGGCCCGCCAGAAATGTAGATGGAAATGTGAATTAAAAGAAAGAGCTGTTTTGAGGTGACAGAGATACTGGAGGGGGCCAAGATAATCCACAGACTGAAATATATGAAGGTTTAGTGACACGTAGGAGGTGGCTCCTGTAAAGAGCATTTATTTTTAAGAGAGGTAATAAGAGTCAAGGGATGGTTCGGCTTGCAGGGCAAGCACATCCAGGCAGGACAGTCAGCTTAGGAAAGGGGCAGCATAAATTTCCCCTGTGTTAGCCCTTAGAACCCAATAGTGTGTTGGCAGTTTTGGACAAAGTTTTCAGACAAATGTCATTCTGTATGCCTTAGTATGACTAAGTTATACATCTTCATGAGTATCATGGAACTTGAGGTACCACTGCTTATATGCCAATGCTCTAAGGGCTGCTTTTGGGTTCATTTGGATACCAAAATAGGTATGGTTCAGTAATTTATTGAAGAATTAAAAAAATAAATTCAGAAATCTGATTTTTCTCTGGCTGTGGACTAAGGGCCAAACCTTAAAGAAAAACTAAACGTTTCTTCTCTTTATCATGTTCTTTCAACACCACAGGCTGCTGGCATGACTTAGCATTGTTTCCATACTATTGCTGTCCTGGAGGCTGCCTATACACATGCTCGGGGGTGGGGGGCGGAGCATTTTAATTAGAGCAGTTCCCGGATAGCTGCTATAATTAAAACAGCTTATTGTCATGTGTATTAAGCCCCCACGTGTTTTAAAATGGCTGCAGGACACTTTATCTAAAGTTCATTCAATGAGCAATGAGCATCAAACAATTTTAATCCCTCTAGATAGCCATCACAGAGAAAAAGAATGGATCCAGCTGGAACATGAAACCATCTTATTTGAAGAATGATAGGTCTGGCAACAATGTATTGTCACAGCAGCACTGATTATAAGATCAAGCCTTGCAGGGTATAAAGAATCCTGGGGTGTGTGTTTACCAGCTAACGTCAGCTGCTTCCTACTTCTGCCTGCTCGTGGCTTATTTTTAGTTCATATTAAGAGAGGCATTTCCTTTCAAAATCTTTTCTTTCAATTTCTACTATTCATCAGATACGGCAATCTCTAATTTCTAAAAAAAAAGTTGTTTTGAATGATAAACTGGATTTTTTTTTTCAATTTAAAAATGTCAAAATATTTGTTCCCCCCATTTCAGGCAAATATCTTTTAGTAAAAAAAAATAAATCATGAAAACTGACCATTTCCTGGAAAATGTTTTAGCTTCCGTGAACTGGCATTTTGTTAAAATATTCCCAAACCAGCTTTTACAAAAACTATTGACAGCTGACACTATGACCATAGCACGATCCCAGGAAGTACTTCAAAAGAACTAACTCATCTCTTTGTCACATTTTCCATATTAAACTGTGGCAGAATTCTGGTTATAACTTATTCACAAAACTCTATCACTGGCATCCACCTTTTTCTTGAGATGTTCATTACCTCTCTACGTGTGTGGCATAGATGGATGAAAACAGCTCAGTAGAATGTATTACACAACCAAACATTTTAGAGATAGACGTGGTTTCTGCTTAATTGAAGAGCAGCCAAAATCAGACTGACTAGAATTATTTTTCATCCTGATCTTGCTGGAGTTGTTCAGTATAAGGGTGGTAGCCTTGCTTCTCTGTATCTTGTTTAAAAAAAAAGGCATTTAAATTGAAATGATAAAAATAAATTACACTTACCCTCAGTGCACAGACTTAAGCACAGAAGACTCAGTGCTAGCGCAGCATCAATTGCAAGACCACACAAAGCTCAGGGGTAGCTGGATCAGCCCCAGAGAGGCTAAAATCAACATCTCCAACCTGACATTTTGAGCCTGGCATCTTCACTGACCTACACACACAGGTCAAGTCCAAGTCTTGCCTCAAGTCTTGTCTCTTTTACCCACATAATGTTCAAAGACTCAGGTTTTATGGTTTGTCCAGGCTGCTAAGGCTCTTGTCCAAGTATTTTCTGGCTGTTGTCCTTCCTCATGTACTTCACCAAAATTATCACCCTCTCTTTGGCTTAATTCCAGCCACATTGCCATGCACTGTCAAAACTATTCAACATCTTTTGGTTCAAGCATCATCCTTCTGACTTGTCAGTCAAACTACATTAATCTCTCAGTTGCACAAGTCTACATGCCCTCCTTTCTCTTTTATCTTCTAACATTGCTCCTGAATCCTCACTGACTCCTGCTTCTCCTCTGCCAGTGAAGCAAGCATTCATCACCTGCTGTTTCTCCTCTCACTCAAGCACCTTCCCACCTTTTCCCCCGGTTGTCCTAATATATTGGGAAAAAGTGCCTTATCACAATTCATAAAACCACCAACTTACCGTCCTTTAAAAATCTTTTTTAAACCTACCCAGCCTTGGTGTTACAAATAACTCTGATCTAGCATTGATTGGGCAAATGACAAGCTATGACTTCTGCTCTACTGTTTGGCTCAGTTTTCTTGTTACTTCACCCTTCCAACACAACCCTGCCCAGTTTGTCTGCTTTATCCACCAGTTGCTTCTGACTGATGCCTCAAATGTGAACTTTCTGGGACAGGGCTTGTTTGTTACTTGTCTGTACAGTAATTAGCAGAATGAGAACCTAATTCTTGGCTGGCAAATCTAGAGTATTTGTAGCAGTACAATCATGGACCTATGATGTGATTGGAGTAATAGAGACTTGCATAACTCCGTTGCATGACTGGAGAACTGGCATGGATGGGTACAAACTGTTCAGGAAGGACAGGCAGGGGAGAAGAGGAGGAGGTGCTTTATGTAAAATAGCTGTATGATTGCTCAGAGCTCCAGTATGAAACTGGAGATTGTGGCCTGTTGAAACTCTCTGGGTTACAATCAGAGGGAAGAGCAACAAGGGGGATGTCATGGTGGGTGTTTGCTATAGACTACCAGGCCAGAAGAATGATGTGAATGAGGCTTTCTTCAAACAACTAGCAAAAGGGACCCCTTCAGTGAGCTAAAACACAAAAAGGAAGCTTATAAGAAGTGGAAACTTGTATAAATGACTAGGGAGGAGTATAACAGTATTGCTTGGGCATGCAGGGATGAAATCAGGAAGGGTAAAGCACAACTGGAGTTGTAGCTAGCAAGGGACATGAAGGGTAACAAGAAGGGTTTCTTCAAGTATGTCAGCAAAAAGAGGAAGACCAGGGAAAGTGTGGGTCCCTTACTGAATAGGGGAGGCAAACTAGTGATAGAGATGATGTGGAAAGGCTGAAGTACTCAATGCCTTTTTTACCTCAGTTTTGTCATCTCTCAGACACCTGTACCTGGCAGCATAGTCTGGGGAGGAGGTGAGCAGGCAACAATGGTGAAATAACTGGTTAGGGACAATTTATAAAAGTTGCATGTGTGCAAGTCAATGGCCAGACACTATGCACCCAAGGGTGCTGAGAGAGTTGTCCAATGTGACTGCAGAGCCACTGATCATTATTTTTGAAAACTCATGGCAATCAGGAGAGGCCCTAGACAGTTGGAAAACAGCAAATATAGTCCCATCTTTAAGAAAGGGAAAAAGGAAGATCCAGGAAGCTACTGACTGGTCAGCCTCGCCTCAGTCGCTGGAAAAATCATGGAGCAAGTCCTCCATTTTGAAGCACTTGGAGAAGAAGGTGACTAGGAACAGTCAGCATGGATTCACGGGGTGCGTCCAGATGAGCCTGCACATGCCTCTTGCCATGTCTCAAAGCAGTTTGAGACTTGGCAAGGTGCACACTGGGAACAAAAAAACCTTCCCTGTGCTGCATATTTGCAGCCTGGGCTCAACATTTGATATCTGGATATCCAGGTATCCAAAAAAAAAAAAACCCACAGAAAAAAAAGCAGGGGCTCTGGTCCTCCAAAGAGCCATCTCTAGGGCTGCCCCTTGCCCCAGTGCTGCAGCACACTACAGCATGTGTGGGGCAAAGAGCTGTGCAGGCTGCAGCGACCTGGACCAGGGCTTCATCCCCAGGTAAGTAGGAACTGTTGGTGGGGTTGTGTAGTAAAGAGGTGGGGGGAACTGTGGGGGGGGGGGGGCTAGGGAGAGATAAGGGCCCTGACTGCCCCCTGCAAGGCCCACAGCCCTCCCTCCACAGCAGCAGCAGCCACTGGGGCACTCAGGGCCCTCCTGGCACAGCCCCCCACGTGGCCCTGGCTGTGTGGCACCTGGCGCTGCCTGTACCACATCGCTCTGGCCCAGCCTGTGGTGACAGATAACAGAACAAGAAGCAATGGGCTCAAGTTGCTGCAAGGGCAGTTTAGTTTAGATATTAGGTAAGCTTTCTTATTAGGAGGGTAGTAAAGAATTGGGGCAGGTTACCCACAGAGGCTGTGAAATTTCCATCCTTGAAGGTTTTTAAGACCCAGCTAGACAAAGCCTTGGCCAGGGTGATCTAGTTGGGGGTGGTTCTACTTTGAGCAGGGAGTTAGACTAAATGACCTCCTGTGGTCCCTTCCAACCTTAATTTTCTGTGATTCCATGGCCCCAGATACCTTGCTCCCCTGCAGAGCCTGAGGTGGGATGGGAGCCCTGGGCTGGTGGGGGATATCCAGGAGGAGCAAGTAGGAAGCAGGGGAGGAAGGAGGGACCCATCTGCTGCTGCCACTGTCTTTGACTAACCAGGAGGTAGGGAAGTCCTGGGACAACTCTTGTCTGGCTCAGCTGGGAAGAGTAAGTGCATGGGGTGCTGGGCTCAGCAACAGCATGTAAGTCCCTGTTCCATCCCCCTCCACCGCATTTTGTCCACCAGCCTGGGGGCCCCAGCTTTGAGGAGAGGCAACATGGGGTGCCAGGCTCAGCGGGGCATGGGCAGGAAGTTTCCCCTTCTAGCAGCTGCTCTAGGCCAGAAGGTGACATGCAGGGGGATTGGGAAGAGAGAAGTACCTAGAAGGGGAGACCCACCCTGCTGTCCCTGCCTGAGCCTGGCATCCTGCACTAACATTCATAGTAGCCTGAGCTGAAGCAGGGCAAGAGTGACTCTGGGGCTCCCCTCTCCCCTGAGTCTACTAGGCAGCGGCTCCCACAGGCAAATCCAGCTGGAGAGGAAGGAAAGGAAATAGGAGGGGAAGGAAAGTGGCTGTATTAGTGGGGAGGAGGTACCAAGAGTTAGAAGAGGGAAGGAGTCTTGCCTGCTTCAGGGATTCAGAAAGGTCCCCAGCAGCTACTGCCACACCGCGGTCTGTCAAATAGGAGGCTGAGGTGCAATCACCCCTGTGGAGCCAGAGACATCTCCTACACCCCTCTTTTCAAATTCCTATATCCACCCATGCCCAGACCTCTTGATTTTCAATTATATATAGACAGTGCTCTGCTCTTATCAATATGCAAGACTGGCAAAGGACCAAAAAGTGCTGGTTGCCTTCATTTCCTGTTGAGAGATGTTATGCCTATGTTAGTCTAAAGTCAGGAAGAAAGCAGGGCAGTGTCACACCTTAGAGACTAATATGTTCAGAGAGATATAAACATATATAAGCAACAAACATGTAATAGGCTGTAGCCTATGAAAGCTCACACCCCTCTGAATGAGTTAGTCTTTGAGGTGCTACCATGCCCTGCCTTCTGCCTGTCATTTCCTGTTGATTACAATGGGAATCAATGGGTGGTAAGCACTACCCCAGAGATGCTCTGCATTTCTCAGGATTGGGTCTGAGGAGAGCTGAGGGTTACTTACTTCATAACTTATAAGACCAGAAAAAATACCCAAAAAAGGGGATAAGGGAACCCCCCCCCCCAAATTAAAGCACAATAAGCAGCTAGGTAAAAAGAGATAATGCAACCATACTGTTAGTAAAGGAAAGGAAAGAAAGCTGTATCTTAAAAAACAGAGCTTAAAAGGGAAAAACAAAATATTGACATGCTTATTTTTTTCTAATAACTTTCTTTCTTTTTCCATTAATGAAAATAAGAAAAATATTGGAAAGAAACTTCTGCCTTCTGTGTCTTGTACAACACCCTTATTTAACTCTGCACCTTTTCCCATGGACATAATAAAAAGGCTCAGAGAAAACAAGTGTTTGACTGGCTTTTAACAAGCATATCATGTGAAACACCTGTAATCGTTTGATTCGGTTTTTGTTTTGTTTTGTTTTCACAGGCTTGGTTTCCTGGGAATAGTCAGATGACTGATTCTGCCCAGATTTTATGCTTAAACCATATATAGCTGAGTAAGCAAATCTAATGTCTGAGAAGGTGAGACCTAACTTTGCAAGATCCTCAATATCTCCTGCCAATCTTGTAAGCAATCCTCATTTCCTGCTGTAGTTATTGCTAATTGAAGGTGTTTGCTTCCTTGCAAAAGGTTCTCAACAATTTATGGGATAAGGCCTTAGTGGAGCTGAAGGCAAGTATTTCTGGAATGCTGCCCCCCCCTTTTTTAAAGAAAATAAAACTGTATATTTCAGTGGTGAAAGTTATGCAAGATTCTACAAAATAGGACTCTGTCTTCATATTTGAACACGTGTACAAAAATGCATTTCAATTACTTTATGGTTTTGTCATCAAATGCAGAAATAGCCTTACACACCACAGTAAGACAGCTCAATGGGTGGTCTAAAACTCATATCTCTCCTCCCTATAACAGAAAAGGAAACTCAATATCAAATCTTTGGAGCAGAGAGCAATGTGTGGCTATAAGATCAGATAATTACTGCAAGGTTTACACTAATAGGGCCATTAATCCTTGCTTTTTTAGGTTCACATACTTGAGAACTTTTAATCAGCAATTTGGGGTTAGAAGAAGTGGGTGGCCAATTAATTTGTTATTCAACTTTTCACAATCAATTTAATAATATGCTATGAATATCAAAGGGCCATGGGGCTTTTGTACACTGACTGCTCGAAGCTAAAGCAAGTGCTTTCCCCTCCAGAAGATGGATTTTCATCTGGGAGGAAAACTTTTTTTTTGTGAGTCATAATGTGTGAAACATAGTTTACCAATTTGGCATTTGTGTAGGATTATACATATAGTTTGACCTCAACCGTCAAGTCTGAACACTGCAGTTGAGCTTATAACTGCAAAATAGATCCAAACTAGAACACTGTGTCTGAATTTCCTAGAACTCCCAGGAAGCTTGGTTTCACACTAGGCCTTTAGTCACACTAGGCCTTAAG